TCAAACAGCGAGGCTGTGCCAGCGTCAAACAGCGAGGCTGTGCCAGCGTCACACAGCGAGGCTGTGCCAGCGTCAAACAGCGAGGCTGTGCCAGCCTCACACAGCGAGGCTGTGCCAGCGTCAAACAGCGAGGCTGTGCCAGCGTCAAACAGCGAGGCTGTGCCAGCCTCACACAGCGAGGCTGTGCCAGCCTCACACAGCGAGGCTGTGCCAGCCTCACACAGCGAGGCTGTGCCAGCCTCAAACAGCGAGGCTGTGCCAGCGTCAAACAGCGAGGCTGTGCCAGCCTCACACAGCGAGGCTGTGCCAGCGTCAAACAGCGAGGCTGTGCCAGCGTCAAACAGCGAGGCTGTGCCAGCGTCAAACAGCGAGGCTGTGCCAGCCTCACACAGCGAGGCTGTGCCAGCGTCAAACAGCGAGGCTGTGCCAGCGTCACACAGCGAGGCTGTGCCAGCGTCAAACAGCGAGCTGTGCCAGCGTCAAACAGCGAGGCTGTGCCAGCGTCACACAGCGAGGCTGTGCCAGCGTCAAACAGCGAGGCTGTGCCAGCGTCAACAGCGAGGCTGTGCCAGCGTCAAACAGCGAGGCTGTGCCAGCGTCAAACAGCGAGGCTGTGCAGCGTCAAACAGCGAGGCTGTGCCAGCGTCAAACAGCGAGGCTGTGCCAGCGTAAAACAGCGAGGCTGTGCCAGCGTCAAACAGCGAGGCTGTGCCAGCCTCAACAGCGAGGCTGTGCCAGCGTCAAACAGCGGGCGTGCCAGGTCAACAGCGAGGCTGTGCCAGCCTCACACAGCGGGCGGGCCAGGTCAAACAGCGGGCTGCCCCACCCCACAGCGAGGCGGCCAGCGTCAAACAGCGAGGCTGTGCCGGGTCTCGCGGCAGGGGAAGCGCGCGGTCGCGGCAGGGGAAGCGCGACAGTGTCGCGGCAGGGGAAGCGCGACAGTGTCGCGGCGGGGGAAGCGCGACAGTGTCGCGGCGGGGGAAGCGCGACGGCCTCGCGGCAGGGAAGCGCGACAGTGTCGCGGCAGGGGGCGCGCAGGTCGCGGCAGGGGAAGCGCGACAGTGTCGCGGAAAAGGAAGCGCGACAGTGTCGCGGCGGGGGAAGCGCGACAGTGTCGCGGCGGGGGAAGCGCGACGGCCTCGCGGCAGGGGAAGCGCGACAGTGTCGCGGCAGGGGAAGCGCGACGGCCTCGCGGCAGGGGAAGCGCGACAGTGTCGCGGAAAAGGGAAAGCGCGACAGTGTCGCGGCAGGGGAAGCGCGACAGTGTCGCGGCAGGGAAAGCGCGACGGCCTCGCAGCAGGGGAAGCGCGACAGTGTCGCGGGAGGGGAAGCGCGACGGCCTCGCGGCAGGGGAAGCGCGACAGTGTCGCGGCAAAGGAAGCGCGACAGTGTCGCGGCAGGGGAAGCGCGACAGTGTCGCGGCAGGGAAAGCGCGACGGCCTCGCAGCAGGGGAAGCGCGACAGTGTCGCGGCAGGGGAAGCGCGACAGTGTCGCAGCAGGGGAAGCGCGATGACGTCGCGGCAGGTGAAGCGTGACAGTGTCCCAGTGACAGTAGACGATACTTAAAAAAATTTTATAATAAAAATATGGGGTTTGGTCAACTGTGGGGTAGGTCAACCCTTTTTTTTTAATATTTATAGCACTATTATTTATAGTCCCATATTTTTATTCAAGTATTCATATTTATATTTTTATTAATAAATATATTGGTATGTCAACTGTGAGGTAGGTCTAATGAACAGCCCCGAAATATAGGTAGGCGAAATAGACAGGTAGGCGAACATTTAGGTAGGAGAAATGATATAGACTCCAGCTGCGGGGATTCCGAACGTCGCGCTGTCCCTCTCGCACCCCTGCGAGACGCGCCTTGAGTGCGAGAGAGACACAGCGTTGAAAGAGCAGAATGAGCCCCGCGTCGGCGTCCTGGCGGGTCACGGGGGTCATCACGTCCCAGCGGCCGGCCGGTCGGGGCGCGGGGGCGTGGAGGCCGCCACTAGCCACGCCTGATAAACTCTCCGGCGGCTCCCAGCACATTTCGTTTCAAGTCGTTGTTTGTTCCGTTTCTGCTTTCTCCGACACTCCTCACGGCTGCTTGGCTTCGACGCGCGCGGCGCGCGGTGCGGCAGTCGAGGCGGAGGAAGCCCGCGCCGAGGTTAGGGCATCGCGTAGATGACTCAGAGTGCCGTAAGAGCGGCGGCGGGCCGCGACGGACTTCACACGGTGACGTGTGTGTGTTTGTGGAGGCGCGCGCTCCGGCGGCAGACACCCGCCGTGTAGTGCACCAGCCAAGAGGCCCGCCGCGCCCCACCCGCATACGCCCACTGGCCAGGTGACCCGGGCGGGGCCTGGCCGGGCTGGCCGGCACGACACACGCGTTGCGGAGTGCGGAGGGAGAAAGTAGCAGTAGAGTGCCACGGGGTGCCTTGCGTTGCGCGCAGTGCCCAGCGCACGTCCCGCCGCCCTCCACGCCGGCCACGCCGGCGGCGCGTTTCGGCTTCGGCCGCTGTAAAAAGGTCAGCGACGTCCGCGCCGCCGGGTCTGGCCGGGCCTGGCCGGGCCGTCCCAGCTGGCGGCTGGCGCATCAGGTGCACCGCGCGCCTCTCCAGCCCGGACGCTGCCGTGCTCGCTGACGTAACCTGCTCCTCGGGATGCGCGGCTGGGCGGCGGCGCGGCAGGCAAGTCAAGGAGTGCAGCTTGCAGTGGCGTGGGTGCGCCGTTCCGGGTTGCCTACCCCACCCCGGGCGGTATGGAGCTTGGCTGGGGTTCCATTGCACCTTCCAGGTTCCAACCCGACCGGGAGGTGCCTCCGATGCTTCCAGCGCCGCGCTCGTGGGTGGACTGCCTGCTGGACTGCTGGATTGGCCCTGCCGACGACAGTGGCGTCCACTTCCGGGTTTTCTCCGCGTGCGGCCACGCGGCCACGTCGCACGCCAGGCCGTGCAATACGAGTCGCGAGGGGGGGGGGCGTCGGGGGCGTCTGGAGGGTTCCCGGCGACCACTGGTCTGCAGACGCCGCATGGCGAGGACCGGATATACGATGTACGTGCCCGACAGCGAAACCAACGAGAGGTAGAGGGAGGGGGAAGAGAGATGCAGCAGCAGCCACCTTTCGGCCGCGCGGCGCGAGGCGGCGCGAGGTCGGGGAGAAACGGGCTGATCATCATAACGCGATACTCGGGCGCCATTTTTAGTGCGGGTGGCACGACACGACACGACACTGGAAGTTCCCCGGTCCTACTTTCGCCGCTCACGACTGAAACGCGCTCGCTTTTGTTTGCGGGGGGCTGGCGGCAGGCAGCAGCATCGCTGATGTCGCCGTTTCGCGATTTCGCGCCGCGGGCGGCGATCTGCTATCTGCGGCCACGGCGGCCACGGCGGCCACGTAAGGCGAGGATAACCGTCGGCCAGGTCAGGAGCTGTTGTTCCTTTCCACGCTGCCGGCTCGTCGCGCTGGCGCACGCTGGCGCTCCGAAACGAGCCAACGCGGGGCATCGCGGCTCCGCTCTGCTCAGCGCCCCGCGCACGGCGTCGCGCTTTGTCGCCCCCCGCCGACAAGTTTCCCCTCTTGAGGCAGAGAAACAGGCAGCCGCCAAAACGCCAAACGGATAGATTCAACTACCGGCACCGCCAGAAAATGCGTGCAGTTTTTCGGTCGGATCGGTTCTCGCTCTTTTTTGCACTTTTTGGCGAGCAAAAGGCGGCGCCCCGCACGGACATCGTTTAGAGGCTCCGCCCGGACGAGCCTAGGGCCACTAGGTCCTCACGGGCTGTGTTATAACCAAAACGAGTGTTTGCCCGTGGGAGTGAATCCGGGCCGCGTAAAAGAGGCGCCGAGTGGCGTGGCGGGGCGTGGCGGTGGCTTCTCAGGGCGAGGCGGGGCGCTGCGCACCGCTTTGCACAGAATGGCCGACATGGAAAGTTGTTTCTCCCAACACCTCGTCTGAGCTGGCGCTGTTATGAAGGCTCTCGAAATGATGCGCGCGGTCCAAGCGGCAAGGGGGCTGCGTTTCGCGTACGCGTTCGGGTGCGGTGTGCAGTACACTGGATTCCGCACAGTGCGCTTGTCGGTCTATCTCACTCGCACCGGTACGGAGAGCCCCATGAGTGCGAGAGAGAGACCCTCCACTCGGAATCAGTCTACAGACGCGGTTCGCGGAAGCGCGGGGTGCGGCACGCGGCACGCCTTGCGGGGCTCGGGGCTCGGTCCGCTCAATTCGGGCCTGGACCACTCTGGATGGTGATGGTGCCCCGTAAAGGTTTCGCCCGAAATACTTTCTCTCAGCGTGGCGCGCTGTGGTTGAGTCTGTGGACGCGGCGTTATGTAGCAGGCTGGACCGCACTGACCGGCGTATGACGCCGAGCCCCGCCCCGCCCCGCCACGCAGCCTCCTTATGGTGGCCATGAAATGCCAAGAAATGGATCGGGTTGCCGTCGCTCCGTTCGTCCGGCGGGTCCGGCAGCGCGGCGCGACCCGGCAGCAGCCCCAGCTGCCCGCGTCACATTGACATTGCTGCGCGTGGCTGCGCGCCCAGGCCGGGCTACACTGTAACGGTGCCGCCTCCGACGCGGCCCGGAGTACAAGTGGAGGACGCCGTCAAGCCAATCAAAATGCGCCGCTTGGCACTTCCCCGGCGACAGAAATGACGGACATTCATAGCTTCGCTGGGTCCGTGGCGACGATGGTCTCGAAGACCCTCAGCCACTGCAGCGTGACCACGTGTGCGCCACGCACAACGCTTGCGGGGCGCGGCGCGGCGCGGGGGCCGCGGAGCGCGGAGGGGCCGAACCGGGGGCCGAGGGCCGAGCGCGGCGGCGAGAGGATCCCGAAGCTCGACGCCGAGCCGCAGCCGAACCGCAGCGGGGCCCTGGCGGGGCGCGCGGGGGCCGGGGGCGTCTGCGCGGGGCCCAGCAGCCAATGGCAGCGCACCGCGCCGCGTCCGCCGCGCCGCTCCAACAAGTGGCAGGCGTGTTGCTCAGAGACTCAGAGGCCCCGGCCTCCGGCCTGTGCGTCAGTCCGCGTCTGTCGGCCCGCGTGATCACCACGCCCCGTCCCTGCCCCGTCCACGCCACCATGTCCCCGTCAGCGTCTAGGCAGGCCGTCGCGGCCCTTGTGCTGGCCGCCGTGGCCGCCGTCGCGATCGCCGGCGAGGTCAAGGAGACCCCCGAAGGCCTCAAGATCGAGATGCTGAGTGTGCCCGACGGCTGCAGCGTCAAGTCCAAGAACGGAGACAGCCTCACCATGCACTACACCGGCACCTTGGCTGACGGCACCAAGTTCGACTCCAGGTACAGTACGCTGCCCAGCGGGTCAACGGGGAGGTCGTGGCCTCCTTGCTACGATCCTCCGTGCCGCGTGGCGCGGTGCAGTGCGGTGTCTGCTGCCGACGTGGCATGGCGCTCACAACAACGGTCGAGTGGCGCGGCTCGGCGGGGCAACCGGGACGGCCGGGGCCGGGGCCCAGCTTGTACGCGTCGTGAGGCCGGTGCCGGGGCTCCGTGCGGCCGCGGGGCTGGGCTCTGGCTCTGGCTGGCTCTGGCTCGGAGTGTCGGCAGCCCTGCAGTCCCGGTCCCGACGGTCCCGGTCCCCGCCGCTCGCCGCACAGCGCGGCCCGCTTTCACCCGGCTCGCCTCGGCGCCGCGGCCGCGTCACCTCGTCCAGCTGGACTCGCTGGACTCGCCTGCTGGAAGACAAGACGGCGGCGGCCACGACGGCCTGCAGGGTGTCGGTCTGAACGCGACCAAGGTCGCCTCCAGCGCGTTCCAGGCAGGCGGAAGGCGTTGTTATCGGCAGCCGCCGGATGTGCTCGTCAGGCCGCGGCAATCGCCTGATGGCCAACGCCGCGGTCGCGCCGCGGAGACAGCGCGACTGCTTTTATCAGTGCCGGGGCGGCCGGGGCCACGCGTCAAGTGTCTTTGACACCCGCCAGATGCATCGAAGTGCGCGGAACAAGTGGCGTTTAGGCGACGCAAACAACGCCACGGAGAATTTTCCAAACTGAAGCGAAAATTGACGGCGATGACAGAATGGGTGCTGGGTTTGGCCGGGTCAGGTCGTCTGGCCTAGCCGGACTGATGGGCTGGTTCGGCAGTGCCTGGACAGTGCCGTGCCACAGCCGCAGCCCCAGTGCCGCGCGGCGGTGGTCGCGGAAGGCGGAACCGCGAACGACGCGATTGGCGGTTATTGGCGGCCGGCCTGTCTGCCTCTCACCGCCGCGTGCGCCGCGTGCGTTACGCAACGCAACGCCTTAAGGCCTTAACGCCGACGCCTAAGCGTTTCCACCCGCGCGGCCGCGGCGCCGTAGCGCAGCGTTGCCCGACTAGGACGTGTCGCGAATTCTCCAGAACAACGCGACGCGTCGGTCGCGCCGTCCGATTCCGAGTCGGCGGGTCCGGTTCCTTGAGCTCCTTTCGGACACGCCCCTCCGCGCCGCTGCCGCTGCCGCCTCCGCAAACCGGTCTAGCGTTCGAAAGAGCATGTACCGGTGCGCAGGGCTGGCAGGGCTGGCAGGGCTGGCGCGTCGCGTCGCGTCGCCGCCATAGCCGAGTTGCATCACGCCCGACGTAACGCGGGTACCCGGTACCGGGTCGCAGCGCCACGGTGTGGCATGGCGTTCCGGCTCGTCCCACCCCACGTCGGCGCCATGGATCAACTTTCGAATAATCCGCGACGCCCGTCCCGCCGATGAATCAATAACTCCACGACGCCCATGCTGAAGTCCTCGGCGTGGTCCTCGGCGGGGTCCTCGGCGGGATACTCGACGGGGTCCTCGACGGGGTCCTCGGTGGGGTCCGCGGCGGGGTCCTCGGCGGGGTCCTCGGCGGGGTCCTCGGTGTGGCCTTCGGCGTGGTCCTCGACGGGGTCCTCGGCGGGGTCCTCGGTGTGGCCCTCGGCGTGCTCCTCGGCGGGGTCCTCGGCGGGGTCCTCGGTGTGGCCCTCGGCGTGCTCCTCGGCGGGCTCCTCGGCGGGGTCCTCGGTGTGGCGCGTTGCACCGCCGTGGTGCGTTGCGGCGTCACCGCGCCGCAGCGCTGCAACGCGGCGGAAAGCGAGCAAGCGAGCGCACGCCGTGACGACGACACGAGCGAGGCGGCCGAGGCGGCAGGCAGCGCAGGCGACCCGTGAAGTCGCCGGGTACACGTACACAGTGGCGTAGCAGCGCAGACGGAGGGCTTCCAGCGTTAGCCATGCCACTGAGACCAAACTGATTCCGCGGGAGGCCTCTCTCTCTCTCTCTCCCGCTCGCACTTATGCACGTTCCGCATAGGTGCGAGAAAGGCCGACACCCGCACTGCGCGGAAATCACTCTGCCGGCAGCGACGTTCGACGTTCGAACGAGACCCAGTTGCTGCACGGCGGCCTCCTCGTCCCTTCCCTGGGCAAGAGAGAGGCGGGGGCGGACGGCGGACGGCCATGCGGTACCGCCAATAAGTCACTTTAAGTTCCGTTCCCTGCCGCTAGGGGCGCGGGGACGCGGGGGTGGGGGCTCGTGTGTGCACGGGCTGACCATCAAAGCCCTCGGAGCACAGCGCGCAGCGGGGCCCCGCCGGGCCGCCCCGTCGCCACCGCGCCCCTCGCCGTCGTGCTTCGGGATTACTTCCGAGTGGCTGCGGATGTAGTCAGTCTCCACGGAAAAGGGAAAGGAAAGAGCAGGGAAGGGGGGCGGGGTAGGATGCAGCTGTGGTGCTGCACGCCCCCATGCTTGCCCCGGCCAGGCCAGCCACGCGCGGGGGGGGGGGGGGGGCAAATCCACAGCCGTGCACCGTAGACTCCAAGTAAGAAACGAAGTGCAAATTTTGGACCGCATCCTAGCACTGGCCAACTCAATCCACAAGCAGTCTTCCTACTTGCTGGATGGCGCACTCTGGCAGCCAGTCCCATCACCGTCCAGGCCTTCCAGGCCTTCCCGTCGTCCAGGACTCGAGCACATAAATCGGACTGGCTGGAGGGGCGCCGCCTGCCCCCAGTCGGCCCCCAGTCGGTGCGACTCGCGGGATGTCAGTTGTCTGTCAATCTGACGGAGAGGCGACGTGACGTCGTCGGCTGCGGCGCTGCTGCCTGCTCGCGGCCCGCCAAGGGTCGCGGACTAAATCGCCACGCGCGGCATCGGGGAGCAGCGAGGGGTGGCGGGGGACGCGGGCGCCACCCTCTGCCTGGCGGCCTGGCGACGCGACAGAGCAAAGCGCTCTTGACAAACGCGCTCATCTGTCGCGGTGGCGGGGCACGACGGCGCGGCGGCGCGGCGTGCGAGAAAGGTGTGCGAAACTTGCGGGGCGGGCGGCGGGGCGGCGAGGCGTGGAACGCGGGGCGCGGCGGCATGAGGGATGGCACCGGCGGGGGAGCCATGGAGCGCGTTCGCCGCGTCACTCGAAATAATTTTTGTACGACTGCAAACAGCGGCGAACAGCGAGCCGCGCGGCGGCGCGGGATCACCTCCACTCTGCGCGCGGCGTGGCGCCGGGGTGGGGGAGGGGGTGGGGGTGGGGCGACATTGTCAGCTATGACACTCCCGTAATCCCCCGTCCTGAAGTTGTATAATTTATCTTGTAGTTAATGCTCCAGTGGTGCGCGCCTTTCTCCCGCCTCGCCCCCCTGCCCGTCGTGTTCTTTCACTCTTGCTCCCCCCGCGCGCGCCCCCGCGCCCCCGCGCCCTTGCACCGCCCCGCGATCGTCCGGAGACACAGCCCGCAAAGCTCCGCCAGTAGTTTACAAGTATTTTTTCGACGTTGTCCTTGTTGTGGGGTGGGGTGGCGCTAGGCCGTGCGCTCTGTGTGATGAATGACGTGGCGCCCGCTCGGAAATATAAAGCAGCGAGGCAGCCACCAAACACGACGCTACCTGGGCCGGCGGGGCAGGGAGGCTGCAATCCCGCTACCCCTCCCCCCCCCCCCAAGCCCGGACTGTCGATCTTGACGGCGAGCGCCAGGCGGTGCGGTAAACCAGCGGTGCGCCTCGGCCGGCCTCGGCCTGCCCGTCATGCACGCCTTGATGCAGCACCCTTTCCTGGCCGAGTCCCTCCATCCTTCATACTCGGGCCGAGCGAGGTTACAGTGCCGTCCGGTGGCGCTCCTCGGTGGTGCGGGGTCGAGTTGGGCGAGTGTCCCCCGGGACTACCATCCCCCCCCCCTCCCCGGGCCCTTCCGGCCGTCCTTAGCCCGGCCGGCGCGCCTCCAGTGTCCGTTTTTACGCCCCGTTCAGCCTGACTCCGGCCGGACGCCAACTGCATAATTTATTAACAATCTCGACTTATCGGGGATCATGGGTAGCGGCCGGTGGCTTGGCGGCCGGTGGCTTGGCGGCCCGCACCTCGGCGGTCAGGCCCGCCACTGCCCTCCCCCGGCCGTGCTCGCCGCCCCCACGGATATAAATGTTACAAAAAGCGCTCCATAAACTAACTCTGGTGCCCCCTTGCGCTGCCAATCTTCCGGAAGCGAAATTTTGCCGGTTCTTCATACAGTTTTACAACGTTCCGGCCGTTGCCGTCTTGCTTCTCTCTCTTTCTCTCTCTCTCGCTCCCTCCCGAAAGTGGCCGCCGAGTCGCTGAAGCTGGAGGCCGGAATGCCTCCCTGGGAATCGATAACTTCTTTCCTCTTTCCGCGGCCAATTAACGTCCCCGCCTCATTGTCCGGCCGGCCCGCGTGCCCCGCGTGGCGCGTGCGCGGCCCGGAAGTCCGGAAGCCGGATTCGACGAGGCGGCACCAAATCGGGCCGGCTCATTTCATTCCATCCATTCGGCGAAACGTTAATTACGGATTCCGATTGGAGACGTTTCAAGAGCCGCGCCGGGCGGTCGGACGGGTAGGCCGACCGCGAAACCGCGCCCTCCAAACTTTGCCGCGCCGCCATTAAAGGTGTATGAAAGCGCGCGGAACCGCCCGCAACTTTTCCCCGATGAAGATTTAGACTGCCGCCAGGAAGAAAGTATTTTTTAACTGAAATCCTTGCGGCACGCGGCGGTCCCTCTCTTTTTGCAAAGCAAACTGTCGCCGTCGCCGCAGCGGCGTGTCTGCTGCCGGCCGAGCGGGCCGTCCTCGTGATGGAAATCTTTTCACTGATAACGATGGCTGCGGGGGAGGTAAGGGGAGGGGAGGTCTATTGAATCCGCGCCACGCTTCAAGTACCTTCCGCGCGGCTGGCCCGCGGCACGGCACGGCACGGCACGGCACGGCGCGCAGGTGCGTCCCCAGAACGGCGTTCAAGTCGAGGGCGCGGAGTGGCGCGGGGTGGGGCGTGTTCAGGTGCCGCTAGCTCCGTGGGCCTTGGGACGGGCACTGCGGTGCGGTCTCCAGCGTGCTCCAGCCCTTGCTCCAGCCTGCAGCCGCTGGAAGGGAGACTGGAAGGGACCCGGAGGCACGGACGGGTACGCCGCGGCCGCGCTGCGCGCGTCGGGGTCAGTGCACGTCCGATCGTGAAATAGGGGTGCCGCCGCCACCGCCGCAGCGGCCCGTGAGATAAGGAACATGCAGGGGAAGAAGTGGAGTGAAGTGAAGCTCCCCCCACCCCACCCGCTGGCCGGCCGGCAAGGTAGGATTGGGCCTGGCTGCGGGGAAGCCAAAGGGGTGTTGGCGCGGCGTGGAGCGGCGTGGCGGGGCGGGGTGCAAGCGGAGTCATCAGGACCGGCTAAAATATTCATTCCCAGTGGCTCAACTCACCCCGGCAGCGCAGCCGCCCCGCCACGCCTCGCCCCACCTCTTGCGTCTCCCCTGGCGATAACAAGTGTTCTCATTACTCGCGCGTTAAAGTGGCTCGCCGAAAAGGCGGGGCGGGGCGGGGCGGGGCGGGGCGGGCCTTGTTTTCGTGGACTGCGGCGGAGAATTCGCGCGCGCATTACTTGAAAGGCGTGCATCATTTAATAATGGCGGCGCATCCGCAGTGCCGCTTGCCTGCGGCGAGCCCGACGCTCCAGGACGCTCCAGGAAGCACCAGGGCCGGAGGGGAAACGAAACGCCACTTTGTCGCAATCCACTTTGCACGGCCTGCCTGCAACGGCATCGGCCTGCACCGGCACTGGAAACGCCAAGCCTCGCCAAGCCTCGACTAATCCGTTCTCGATGTGTTTGCAGCCACGACCGCGACCAGCCCTTCACCTTCCAGCTCGGCGTCGGCCAGGTCATCAAGGGCTGGGACCAGGGACTCACCGACATGTGCGTCGGCGAGGTCAGGAAGCTCACCATCCCCCCCGCGCTGGCCTACGGTGACCGCGGTGCCGGCAACGTCATCCCCGGAGGTAGGTAGGGTGGCCCGCCGTCTCTCTCGCACTCACGGGGTGTCTCGAGGGGGCGCGAGAGAGACAGAGCGACGAACCGCTGGAGACGTACTAACAACGGCATCCTCCCCCGCAGGCGCCACCCTCACCTTCAACGTGGAGCTGCTCAACATTGGCGACGCCGCCCCCACCACCAACGTGTTCAAGGAGATCGACTCGGACAAGGACAACCAGCTCTCCCGCGAGGAGGTAAGGCGGCGTCCGCACTCATTAGGCCGCCGAGGGCCACAAGGGGCCGGCCAAGGGCCTGGCCCAGGTGTGGCGGGTTGCCGGTAATGGCGGAAGCGGACTGGGTAAAAATAAACAAAGGGGAAAAGCGCGCCAAAATTTCGCGATGTTCGGCGGCGATATTGTTGCCTTGCCCTTCGGGCATTCGGCCGCCATGGCGGGCCGTCGCCGTCGGTCCTGCTCCGGACTCAGCTCGTCACCGACGACGTCCTGCCCAATCACCGCTCCAGCGCCGCGTGCCGCGTCCGTCGGTTCGGATTCCACCCCGTCGAGGACGCGGTGCGCTGCGACAGCGTCGTGAGGGATATGGCCGAGCATAGCGGGGCATGCATGTTGCAGCAGGCCCAAGCCAGCCCGAGCCAGGGCACGCTGTCACCGTCACTGACGGTGACGGGACGTGGGACGTCGGGCACGTCGGGCACCTCCCCGCCGTAGTGCCCGGGCGGCAAGCCGGGCGGCCCCCTGCTCTCCTCGTGTCAATGTGAATGCGCTAATGTTAACGTAATGCCTGCCGGCTCCGCGTCGCACGGTGTCACAGTGTGTCGCAGCTTCCCGGAGACGGCCTGAGTGTGTGTCTGTTGTGTAGGTGAGCGGCTACCTGCGCAAGCAGCTGCAGGAGGCCGAGAAGGGGGATGCCGCGGAGGAGGTGAAGCAGATGCTCAACGACCACGACAAGCTGGTCGAGGAGATCTTCCAGCACGAGGACAAGGACAAGAACGGCTACATCTCGCACAACGAGTTCTCGGGCAACAAGCACGACGAGCTGTAAGGAGCTGTGTCTCTGTGGACTGTCGGTGTGGTGCGCGGTGCTCGACTTGAACTGTGCTGTGCAGTGGTGTGTCGCTGGAGCGCCGTGCCGTGCCGTGCCGCGCCACGCCGCGCCCCGTCCCCAGCGCGGCCCAGCGTGGCCCAGCGTGGCCGCGGAGTCGCGGAGGTGGTGGTCAAGTGCCGTTTGTTGGGCGTGCCGTTCGGTGGAGGAAACTCATCCATGCTTGCTCAGCATCGAAACATGACGACCAAGACAGACAAACGCCCAAGAAGCTGACGTGAGGGCTGCCCTCGCCGCGCCCGCCTGACGCCCCTCTGCCCCGCCTCGCCCTGACACCGCCTCACCCACCCCACCCCGCCCCACCCCGCCCCGACTTCCACGCCATCCATCTGACAGCGCAGATGAGCCGCTTTGCCATCGCATTATTCCATTCTCATACCAGCCGCTGGGCGTTCACCTCAGTGTTTTATTTTTATCATTTGCGTTTCTTTTCTGTTTGGTTGGAGTGACATCTTCGTTTGGTCTTTTCTATTTATTTTCCTGTTTTTTTGGTTTTGCCTTCCCCTTTGCGTGCCGTGGCTGTCTCCCGGCATATTAAATGCCCTTTCCCTTTCCCCAGGGTTGACACCCCTGCCGCCTCACCGTGCCCCATTCCCCGGCACTGGCACGCACACGCCAAATTTTCGATCCCGTCCAAGGGATCGTGCATACAGAATCACAACAAATATAACACATCCTTGGAAAATTTTAAATTTATTTTGAAACTTTTTGGCAGTATGGGTGTGCGTGTCACGTGTCAGTCACCCTCTACCTCCCGTCTAACATCTTTTCGGTTTTTATTATGTGTATCTGCGCAGATTTTTAATTTTTCGCTCCGCCATTTTCCGATTTTTATGTTTGCGTTTTTCTTTATTTGCGCCTTTTTTTGCGGGGTCATAGGTGAGCGGCTACCTGAAGAAGCAGATGGTGGCGGCGGAGGGCAGCGAGGGCGCGGAGGACGTCAAGAAGATGCTGGAGGAGCACGACAAGCTGGTGGACGAGATCTTCCAGCACGAGGACAAGGACAAGAACGGCTTCATCTCCCACGACGAGTTCTCGGGTCCTAAGCACGACGAGCTGTAGAGCGTCCCATTCGAGTACCCTTAATTTATTGCCGGTCCCCGCGGCCAGGCGGCCCGCCCCTCGGGGGAGATATGTGTCCCATTTTCCACCCTGAGCGAAGGCTCCTGGCGGCGGGGGCCAACATTTTTTGTACCTCGAAAAGTATTTTGCCTGAGGGCGTCAGGACTGAGTGAGTGAGTGTGTGTGCGTGTGTGTGAATGCTAGCGAGGTGAGAGAAAATTGTGACTGTCCCTTTTTTTACGAAAAGTGTAGTTAAATTTTTGAAAATGTCCATCATTGACCAGCCAAGTAGACTTTCCTTTCCGCTGGCGTGGACAAGGCTTTGCAACGTTGACGGTCTTCCAAAGCAGCAAGGACGAATTTTTCTGTTGTAAATGTGTACATTTAAGACTTAGTTATGCACATGTGTTAGCACGAATGAATCGAAGCATCAACGAATGTATCCTCTCTAAGTTTAGACAACTGAGTCTTTTCAGTCGTCATTCTTACTTGCAATTCTTGTGTCGTCTGTGTCTCCTTTCGGATGCCTTTGTTACGATTTGTTATGTTTTGTTGTGTAAGTTATAGATCTAAGGATACAACCTTACTGTTGTGATTATGCGCTGTTGAATGTGTACTTTACATCACTTGTACATTTTGGGCTCAAATCAAAGATCACTTCTATGCTACGTGGCAGCGAAGACTGTATCTCAGCAGTAGGTGGTAAATGCAACAGTATGATTGTACCGCGTTGTTAAAGCTGAAGTCGTTTCAATAAAAAAAGGAAAAATCTTACGAGAATCTTTTATTTGAACGAAACACTAACAATACACAGCAAAACACATCAGAAACAATCCTTGAAATACAATTATCTAGAAAATTACGCCACTGTAAGGGCTGTAGTATGCCCAAAAGCATGACAAAAAGAACACGCAACACCTAAAGGGGAGGAAACAGCGGATTTTGTCGGTGCTGGCAGTGGAGTCGTGCTTGGCAAAGGCGCGAAGGCCGCGGGGCGAGGCGGCGAGACACGACATTAGCGTCAAATATTGAGAACCACATCCTTGTAGGAGCGGACCAGGAGCAGGACCTGGAGGGAAAAAAGGGGGGAGGGGGCGCTGCCGCAAGCGGTCGCTTCGAACCAGCAGGGCCTTTTCGTCCTCGTTGTTTTAATATTTAGAGGCGCCGTCAGGACGCCGACAACTGTGGAGCCACATTTGCACGTCCCGCCCCACGAGCCTGCCTGGCCCTGCCTGGCCCCAGTGCAGCAAACTGCCTGCCTGCCGCATCGCGGGAGTTGTTCATTTCTCCTACCTAAATGTTCGCCTACCTGTCTATTTCGCCTACCTATATTTCGCCTACCTAATAAAAATATTGAATAAAAATATTCAATAAAATATTGCCATTTATCGCCTACCTATAGTTCGCCTACCTAATAAAAAAATTAAATAAAAATATTCAACAAAAAAACGAAAAAATCGGCGGCAAAAAGTGGCAATACGAAAGTCTCAAGGAGACCCGCCGATCAGCTTCGGTGTTCTTATGGGAACCGGGCCTTCATCCGACGCTCCCTGCCGCGCAATTCGACAGATTAGTGGGTTCGTATTGGGCTGGCCCACCCGAAGTGCGCGCGGTTTCTGTGGTACAGTGAGAGTCCAGATTCAGAGGCCTTACCTCAGAGGGGTCACATTGGGTATTTGAACCCGCGACCCCGAGTGCCGAGTCTAGTCAACTCCTCTACCCTGACCGCTCAGCCACCGAACCAGCTTGTCGGCGGCGATGTCGCAACTCCTCTTGAGCTGCCGTTCGAGAAATCTGGTCCCGAAAAAATGGTACTTTGAGCGGTCTCGAACCCGGGACCTGCTGCTTCCCACATCATGCTCTTAACCACTGAGCCACCGGGACGCCATGGCACCCGCCCTGCCTGCGCTGGTACTCAATCTTCTCTGGATATACCTCCCCAAGCAATTGGTCGCCGAAAAAATTGTATATACTACCGGTCCCGAACCCGGGACCTGCTGCTTCCCACATCATGCTCTTAACCACTGAGCCACCGGGACGCCATGGCACCCGCCCTGCCTGCGCTGGTACTCAATCTTCTCTGGATATACCTCCCCAAGCAATTGGTCGCCGAAAAATATGTGTATACTACCGGTCCGAACCCGGGACCTGCTGCTTCCCACATCATGCTCTTAGCCACTGAGCCACCGGGACGCCATGGCACGCCTGCCTGCGCTGGTACTCATCTCTCTGGATAGACCTCGTCAAGAAGTCGGTTGCCTCTGCCGAAAAATATGCTCATGGCACTAGCCTCGAACCCGAGACCTGCCAGTCAGGAACGCAGCACTCTAACCACGGCGCTACCAGGATGCCATGCACGCCACCAACCTAGCGCCAAACTTCAATAGCCACCCATCTTGCTTGATGCTGGACAAATAATAACTTCGGCGATGGGGTGAGCGCGCAACCAACGGATGTGCGTAGCAACCAGGTAGCGCAGTGGTTAGAGTGCTGCGTTCCTGACTGGCAGGTCTCGGGTTCGAGGCTAGTGCCATGAGCATATTTTTCGGCAGAGGCAACCGACTTCTTGACGAGGTCTATCCAGAGAGGAATAAGTACCAGCGCAGGCAGGGCGGGTGCCATGGCGCCCCGGTGGCTCAGTGGCTAAGAGCATGATGTGGGAAGCAGCAGGTCCCGGGTTCGGGACCGGTAGTATACACAATTTTTTCGGCGACCAATTGCTTGGGGAGGTATATCCAGAGAAGATTGAGTACCAGCGCAGGCAGGGCGGGTGCCATGGCGTCTCGGTGGCTCAGTGGTTAAGAGCATGATGTGGGAAGCAGCAGGTCCCGGGTTCGGGGCCGGTAGTATATACAATTTTTTCGGCGACCAATTGCTTGGGGAGGTATATCCAGAGAAGATTGAGTACCAGCGCAGGCAGGGCGGGTGCCATGGCGTCCCGGTGGCTCAGTGGTTAAGAGCATGATGTGGGAAGCAGCAGGTCCCGGGTTCGAGACCGCTCAAAGTACCATTTTTTCGGGACCAGATTTCTCGAACGGCAGCTCAAGAGGAGTTGCGACATCGCCGCCGACAAGCTGGTTCGGTGGCTGAGCGGTCAGGGTAGAGGAGTTGACTAGACTCGGCACTCGGGGTCGCGGGTTCAAATACCCAATGTGACCCCTCTGAGGTAAGGCCTCTGAATCTGGACTCTCACTGTACCACAGAAACCGCGCGCACTTCGGGTGGGCCAGCCCAATACGAACCCACTAATCTGTCGAATTGCGCGGCAGGGAGCGTCGGATGAAGGCCCGGTTCCCATAAGAACACCGAAGCTGATCGGCGGGTCTCCTTGAGACTTTCGTATTGCCACTTTTTGCCGCCGATTTTTTCGTTTTTTTGTTGAATATTTTTATTTAATTTTTTTATTAGGTAGGCGAACTATAGGTAGGCGATAAATGGCAATATTTTATTGAATATTTTTATTCAATATTTTTATTAGGTAGGCGAAATATAGGTAGGCGAAATAGACAGGTAGGCGAACATTTAGGTAGGAGAAATGATATAGACTCCGCATCGCGCCACGGGGCTATTGTGGCGGGAAAAAGCGCGCCGCTGTTTGGGGGGACTTGAGGAAAGTCGCGCGCCAAAAATGTGACGCCAGCCATTGAAACACCGGGCGAACAGCTAGCTTGGCCGCTTGGGCAATGCTGAACTTCTGGGTTCGAAACCAAGGGTTCTTTTCTAAAAAACGTTTTTTTATGGTCCACGACATGGTAGTCACTATTCATACTTCAAGTGCTTCCAGACAAGGACAATGAGAGGAAAAGGCACGAGGCGGCGCTTGGGTTCCTCCCCTCTGCTGCCGGGACATACACCACCATGGTGCACCACCCCATCTTGTTGTCGAATTTCGGCAGTCGAGAGGGCCGGCCCGCTTCCAAGTGAGATGTTGTGTACTGCCAGGCAGTGCTACACCGCTACGGCGCTGTGCCCTGCGGGGGGTGCCTGCCACCATGGTGCCACGCATCGGGGACCTCCGGTCGCGGAGCAATAACAGTGTACAGCCCGGCGTCCGCCGCGCGCGCCGCTCCACGCTGCGCCGGGGAGTGCGATGGGTTGCCTGAGCAGCCGGGCAGTGTGGTGGGTTGCCTTCGTCACGGCGCCGTACCAGAGGTTAAAATTGGTCTCTACGTTGGTCTTTTGATTGGTTCTTTCGCCCAACGCCACTGGCCCAACACGGTCAGTTTTAGAGTGCGTGCAAAAGCAGGCAAATTTTATGTTTCGCAGGCTTCCCCGTGTCAAGACGGACAAGGAATTGGAAATGAGTGACAGCGACAGCCGAATCTGCTCACATAACATTTATTATTTTTGTGCCCTTACAAATTAATCATAGGATCATGAATACAAATCTGAATCAAGCTCAAATATTTTTCATCAAAAGCGTAAAAATACACAGTATTTATTTGTAAAAAAAGACTAGCAACACTTTAGCATTACTTCACACTTTCTGTATCACATTTGCAAGGCATGTAAGAGGGGAGAGGACCTACTACGTGCAACAAGTCATAAAACTAAAACTACGAAAGAAGGGTGACTCAATTGATTTCTAATAGGAACGTAACGTTCTAAAGCAACAAAATGAACAAAAAGCATCCTCTAAAATAAAGTAGACAATACACGTCGGTGGATTCAGACAGACATAGAGGGCGAGGACTGTTGCTTCAGATTGCAGCTCGCACAGCACAGCCTTGCCACAGTCAGTGAGTCAGTCAGTCTGGCTGCAGGCGCTGCAGGCGCGCCCCCCAACCCCCTTCCCCCTTCCCACGCGCACATGCCGCCTCCGCCCGGCACTGTCCAAGCCGATGCGTCACCCAATTATTTATTCATTAATATAAATTAATTTAATTTACACGGGAGAGCAACAAAGGCGAGCACTCAGTAGCCCTTGATGTAGGCGGCCAGGTGCTTGCGGTCCTCGTCCGACAGCCCGCTCTTGAGGGTGCGCCGCACTGCAACAGAGAGGGCGACAGTGAGTCCACTGCAAAAAGGTGACGTCAGCAAGCTCGAAACAAATGGATGACATGGAAAAAACATGGGGACTTCAGGCTGAAAAAGAAAGGATGCTGGTTAGGAGGGAGGCAAATTGAATGTCATACATCACACGGCAAAAAAAAATGCAGCCTGAAAATCGCTGGATCTTTTCAAGCTGTTGGATCGTCTACTAAAATAAAACGCACAAAAGGCATCTAAGGCGGGCTAGAACGTTAAAAGAAATGGCGGCGTCACTTGCGGGTTAGTGCAGCTGTCTACGGGCACGCATTACTTGACGCGGACACACACACACAGAGGCAGGCACCGTGTGCCCTGCACACACCACTTTACCATGGACGAATCACGGGGACTCGCTAACGTTGCCCGCAATGGAAGCGTTCTCCCGCGTGCGCGACCGCTTCACTATCGGGGGACAGAGTGCAGAACGGCATGAGTGAGGTGCAGTGGAGTGGGCGGGCCTTGGCGAGCGCCGCGCGGGCAGGCCAGCCCGGCGAACACGCGTGCGTGCCTGGCGCCGCAAGGCCTACCCTCCAGGCGCTCCTCGACTTCCCGCCAGAAACGCACCAAAAGACAGAAGACAAGGCGCGCGGCCGGGTCTCGAACCGCGGGCCGCCTTCGGTACTTACGCGACTTGCGGTCGGCGTGCCGCGTCCTCTTCCTCTCCCGCGGCACCGTCCGCGACGACGGCAGCTTGGTGGCGGTCTTGACGAGGCTCTCCAGGATCTCGTCGTCGCCGTCCGTCAGGTTGTCGCCGTTGCCGGCGTCGTCCCGCAGCAGCGGGCTCAGAGGGCTCAGCACCGTGCGGCCTGCAAGGTGCAAGTTCGTCAGGGAAAGCCGAAGGACGCGGAGCTGTGTGCGTAGCTGTGTGTGTGTGACTTACCGATGTCTTTCCTCTGACGGCGGCCCCAGGGCATGGTGCCGTGGATGCTCTCCACGTCCGAGATGTCACTGCCCAGCAGTTGGCGGAGCTCGGCGTCGGCGCGCAGCTCGGCGCGCACCTCTTTGCCTTGGAACTTCCCCACCTGCAGCAGGACACTCAGCGTCAGCGAGCACGGCGACGACGATCAGGACAAGAGGTTGGTTTAGGTCACTCACCTCGGTGATCATCTTGCCGCGAGTCTTGTTCCTCTCGCGGTGGTTGGCCTTCTTCTGGAGCTGCTGCAGCACGCGCTCGCGGGTGGTGCGGTACTCGAGCGCGAACTCGGACACGACGCGGCAGAACTCGCTGGGCTTGGTGTCCGGCAGCCTGGCCAGCGGCACGCCCAGCCACAGCAGGAAGCGGTGGAAGCGGTTCATGACGCGCCGGTGCACCACGCTCAGAACGATGATGCGCTCGGCGCAGTCCGCCAGGAAGTCCGACATCCTGGAGGCCGAGAGAACAGTAAGCGTGCATCGGGACGGGCCGAGGCCGAGGGCAGCGCCGGTCCGCGTACTCACTTGACTTTGACCATGGTGGAGCCGTCGTGCTTGGCCACCAGCTTGAGCCGGTCCCACGACGCCTTGCACTCGGTCTCCATGCGGACGATGTTGGCGGCCAGCTCGTCGAAGTCCACCTTGGACGCGCGGGTCACGGCGCCGATCTGTCGAACGGTAAAGTCTTTGTAACTCGCGCTGAGGCCGGCGGTCGCAACTCGCCAAGGCACAAGGGGAAAACCCACCTCGCTGTAGAGGTCGGACGCGTCCGGGAACTTGTCCATGACCATGTGGCTCAGGTGGTGCAGCAGCGAGTGCTTGTGCACCGTGTCCTTGACCTCGGGCACCTTGGCCAGGTACTCGATCTGGAAGCCCTTGACGTGGCTGCCGTTCAGGAAGATGCCGATGGACAGCAGCGTCTGCAGGATGCAACGGAATGTTTTGTTGGAGCGCAGCGTCTCCATGCCCTGCTTCAGGTCCATCAGCGGCTCCGCGATTTCCTGCGGGAAGAGCGGGGCGTGTTAGTGGAGGCCGCGGGGCGCTGTTGGAGGGGGAGGGGGTGCCACCGCCACCCTCACCTTCTCCATGTTCTCGTAGTCCAGCTTGAAGGCCCAGAGCTTGAGGCGCGCCGGCAGCTCCGAGATGGAAGCGAGGGTGAGTAGGAACTGCTCCGCCGAGCCCAGCGGCGTGTCCGGCGCCGCGGCCTGCGCCTCCTGGATGCGGGTGCGCTCGTCGTCCGTGGGCAGCATCGTCAGCAGTTTCTGTAAAAACGACTCGCTTTTCGTATGCCAGTTTCCCAGTTTCAACTTCCAGGCCTCCGAAAGGGCCGGCCGCTCACCTCGATGCCCTCGCGGTTCATGACGGTGGCGTCCATCTTGAGGATAGCCGTCTTGATGGAGCGCGGCGGCGGCAGCTTGGTCATGCCGATGTTGATGGCGTTGGAGCGCTTGTGGTCTAGCACGATGATCTCCTTGTTCTTGTTCAGTTCTTGTTGTTTCTGGAGAGAGGGAGGGTGCATGCGGTTAACAATCAGAAGTGGATGTGAGTCACGGTGCGAATATGGCATATTACTGATTTCTGACAAACCCCGGATGATTAGTGCTAGTTCACTACTTTTCAGCAAATCAATAGACGCGATTGAAAGAGCGATGGTTTGTACCCAAAGTTACAAAAAAATCCGTGAACATGAAAAACTGCGAAACCGTTGATAGAGAAATCCTTACAATCAGAACAACAAAGTTGTAATAACCTCCATTACCTCCTTCCCTCGCCTCGAAAAAAAAATGGAAAATAAAAATGACGAAATACAGTATATTACCAGCGTAGGGTCGAGAGGGAAACTTACCTCCTGCGAGATGTGTCGGACGAACCAACACCACCAACACCATCCAGCCACACGCCGGTGGAGGAGAGGAGCACAAAAATAAAAATATACAGCAGATTAACGAAAGCACCACCACCAACGCCACCACCAACCCCCAGCAAAACTCTGGTCCAAAGCGCGCATGTGACACAAGAAAACAAAAATTGATGTTGATGTTTTTAGAATTGCAAGCTTTGAAGATATGAATAGTCACATGAGAGCTTTTCAGAGATGTATGATATAAAATGATGATGCAGCCACAGCCCTACTATATTTACAAGCTGAAAGATAAAATGAATGAAGCAACCACAAAATTATTTCAGACACTATACGGTCCATAAAATATTATTTTAAAAAAACCACAACCATTGACATAACTTAAAAATAGGAGCTTACAATAAAATCGGGACGAGTGGTCAAAATTAAATTTACGGCTTAACAGGTAAAGATAACGACACAATTCGACCAGAGTCAATAGTAGTAGGTGTTAAAGTGTGAATACCAATAAGCGAAAAGAGAGAATGTCATGTGGACACGAAGTAAGCATTACTCGACGGAGTGCGTTGTAGCAATTGTAGTGCCGTGGAAACGTGGACACGTGGATGAGTATGCGTTGCGAAGTGTCACTCAAGCAGAAGTGAAGATGGCAGTAGACAGAAACAGAGACCTGCAGCCTGCAGGCAGGTCGACAAACCCGGCGTGTTGCATGTCGTCCCAGAAATCCCCGGCCGCCCCCGACCCGGCACTGATTAGTGGAGGTTTGTGGTCCCGGTGTCAGCATGCCGTGCGCACTAGACCGCACTAGGCCCTACCCGCCACCGCCTGCGTGTCTCGTGTTCTGAGGAAGTGCCCTAACTGAGCATGAGCAAGCACCTTGGAGATGAGGTCCTTGGCGCGGGACTCGAACAGGTGCTCCAGCTTCTGGGTGTCCACGTCTACGGGCCGCAGCTCGTCCCACAGCATCGGGGCGTAGTGGGTCCGCACCAGCGCCGCGGGGTCGTCCCGCACCTGTGGAGCAGAGACCGGAGGGAAGTCAGGCGGGGTATCGCCGTTCGGCGCGGGGTATCGCGCGCGGCGTCTCACCGCGGCGGAGTGGGCATACCCCGCGCGGCAGGGCGCTGGCTGCGCTGGCTGCCCGGCCCGGCACGCTGCTTTGCTAATGGCGGTCGTAACTCGCCCGACGTATAATTATTATACTCGAGCAGGCCCTAATCTTAATTCAATCTGACAGTGAAACGCAGCGATCTGGAGCGGGTACGCGGCCGGACGCGACGCGACGCAACGCGACAGCGGGGCTGATACATTGCAAAGGCACTCAGGCAGATGCAATGCATGGCACTTTTCCAGAAACTTACGGCTCTGTTCTTTGCCGCGGGGCGGCGGCGGAGAGCTGCCGGCGTCGTTGCATGTGTCCCAGATCCCGGCGGCTACCCGAACACGGCGGCCTGGATTAGTGGCACGCCGTTTGGGTCACACCTGCGTTGTTGGTGGCGGCGGCCTGACCCCCAGCTCATGGCCCGCGGGGGCACACCCCTGGCGGTTGGCCGGTTCGAGGACGTCCCTAACTGTCATGGAACACCTGCGAGTGGGTAACTTGAGTGCGGGACTCAACAGGTGCTCCAGCTTCTGGGTGTCCACCCAAACGGGCCGCGCTCGTCCGACGAGGGGCGTGGGGTCGCCCAGGCCGCGGGGTCGTCCCGCACCTGGTGGAGCAGAGACCGCAAAGGAATCAGGCCGGGTAATCGCCGTTTGGGCGGGTATAAGCATCCGGCTTCTGACCGAGGCGGTAGATGGGCATCCCCAACGGGCAGGGCTTGGCTTCCTTTGGGCATGCCTTGTTACGGAGTGCTTTTGCTCATTTTGGAAGCGAAACTCCCCCGCAAAAGTTGGTCTAAGCAGTCCCTAATCTTAATTAATCTGTTGTGAAGCCGACTTTAAGCGGTACGGGGTCGGACCGACGGGGACGCAATCCGACAGCGGGGTTTTTGATTACAATTGCAAAGCCGTACCGGAGGCAAATTTGCCTTATTGGGAGCACCTTTTCCGAAAGTTTCACGGCCCTTCTTGTTTTTGATCGACTTGTGGCAAAACTGCTCGCGGGACAAAGGCTGATACCGCCTCCGTGGCGCTGGAAGGTCAAAGCCTTGCCCGGAGGGGGACGCCGCCACGGACAGACCCCGGGTAGGGTTTGGGCACAACCGTTGGAGGTCGACAGTGCCGTTTTGGGGTGGACTGGGGGCGGCAGTCGCCCCCAAGGAAATCATTGGGCCGGGGGCGCGGGGGCGCGAAATTTTTCCTGGGGGTTTGGGCCGGGAAGATGGCTAAAATCCGGGGCCCGGAACCAAAAGGGTTGGGAACGAGCTGGGCTAAACATTGCAGCGAGCTTTGTGAGACGCGGTGGCAAACGTACGTCGCTGTGGAGGTCGGTGAAGTCGAGGTCGCACAGCTCCAGCGACCGGCTCAGGTTCGACACCAGCTCCTCCCAGTGCAGCTCCGTCTCCGACTTGATCTTGGGCGCGGGCGCGGAGGGAGGCGGCGGCGGCGGCGTCGTTGGTGACACGTCCTGTTTGGATTTGCTCTTGGCCAGGCCCTCCTTGGCCTTGGAGATGATGCCGGCCATCCCGGACATGTCATTGATGAACGACTTGTTCTCGTCCACCTGGAATCGCAAGCGAAACTCTGAGATTGCAGGCCACGCTCATTGGGCCTTACAGTGGTGTGGTGGGTGGACATGGCGCCTACCGGGCTCTGCAGGATGTTTTGGCTGGCCAGCTTCTGCGTCAGGTCCTTGACGGTGTTCTCCCTGCGCGCGGGCAGGTCGTCGAGGCCGTGCCCGTTGCTGTCCTCGAGGTAGGCCCACGAGTTGTCGTGCCGGGAGTCCATGCGGTTGACGGCGTTGAGCAGCGGCGTTCGGTCGGCGGCTCGCAGGAGGTTCGAGTCCGCGCCAACGCCGGGGACGCCGGGGCAGAGGACGCCGGACGTGCCGTTGGCCAGACGCTGCGCCGGCGTCAGACCTGCGGGCAGGGCGGGGCGAGGCTTGTCGCTCTGTCTCTCTCACACCTATGTGGGTCGACCCATGAGTGCAAGAGAGAAAGAGCGGCAAAAACGACTCGCGGAATCGGTAAGCGGTAAGTTATTTCCACAGCCGGTTAGTCGGTATCAACTCAAAAGCTGCGGCGGTATGAGTCTGGAAGCGTTACCCTCGTCCGGGACGGTGTAGTTGTGCAGCCCCAGGCCCAGGTTGAGTCCCAGGGGCTGGGGCGGGGGCGGCAGCGGCGGGGGTGGTGGGGGCGGCGGCGGCGAGGGCGGCACCAGTGGCGGGCTGACGGGGCCGGGGTCCGAGTTGGCACCCTGGGCGGGCCGCCCCCCGACGCTGAACTCGGCCTGCTCGCGCTGGAAGCAGCGCTGTCGTTCGGCCCGCTCCCTGCGCCGCCGCAGGGCGGGCGTCACGCCGACGTCCTGCACGCCTTCAAGGCCAAGCAAACACTCAGCAACACACAGCAGCAGCGCGGCGGCACACGGCAAACGTCAAAGCCATACGTTAATGGAGGCCAGGGCCTCGGCGAGGCGAACGCCGAACGCCGCCACGCGGCGACGGACACACTCACCTCCCGTCTCCTTGTAGTTGCCGTTGAGGTGCATGGAGTCCAGCGCCTGCGACGACTGCGAGCTGCTGGAGTCCTCGCCGTCCTCGCGGCGCCCTCCGAGGACGCCTCCGGGGACGGCGCCCGGGCCGCCGGGCTGCGCGTTGGCGGACAGGCCGGACAGGCGCAGGTGAGGCGGCACGGTGCCCGTCGAGTGGCGGCGCGACCGGCGCCTGTCCACGCCCATGCCCAGGTCCGACGTCAGCGACTTGCGGTTCCGGAGCGTCTTCCTGTTCAACAGCATGACCCTCGTCAACACCGTCATCGGCCGCCGAGACTGAATGGAGGAAAAGTCGGCGGGGAAACGAAAAGGCGGGGCGGCGATCCGATTTCGCCACGACGCGACGCGACGCCTTCTTTGTACGGCGCGGCAACGCGAGCCAGACGATGCAGTAAATCCGAAGCAGCCGCGTGGCGGCGGCCTCGGGCCTGGCGGCGCGGTGATGGACAGCATTATTTATTGCGACAAGCATAACGCTAAAAAGATCTTCTTGACGCGGGGCGTCGGGCGGGGGAGGGGAGGGGGAGGGGAGCATTATCCTGCAACCCGGAATACCAACAACGGGGCGGGCCTGCACCGCCTGCAAGGCCTGCACCCGACAGCCATCTCCTGCCAGTGTAGGCCTGCCGGCCTGCCGCGGACGTGGCATCGACGCGCGGAGCCGCGGATGCGCTGGTGGCCGCGGTGCCGCGGCGCGGAGCAACCACCGCGTGCTGCCCGCGTCCATCCGACGGCCACCCCCAAGGCACCGCGATGGCATGCAAACGAGTTTCGCAACTCTCGGACTCGACGGGCGACGGGCCGACGCCGACGCCGACGGCCGGCGGACTCACCCCTGGCTAGAACAAAAGCCCCGATGCTGACCTGAGATTGTCGTCCAGCTGGCGGAGGGGCTGCGGCAGGCCGCGGTCGCCGCCGCCCGCGCCATCCTCGAACTGCAGCACGGCCTCGTAGATCTGCAGCTGCCGCAGCAGGTCCAGGTCGGTGCCCTGGCGGGACATGTATCTGGAAGGCCGAGAGGGAGACGTGGTGAGCGTGAGCGTGAATGGCGGGCTGATGCCCGGAGCGCCCTTCGGCCCTTCAGACTGGAGGCTCCAGGCCCTTCGCTTGGCGTGACATCGGCGTGGCCATGACCCCCAAAGCGGTGGCTCCCGGCTGCTGCACCCTGGCACCCCGGGCACCCTGCTCCCGTTGTGCAGCAGTGCAGCAGCACAAGGTGCAGCGCTACCAACCCAACGGCCAACGGCATTGGCGCAACGTGTTATTGTTAGTTATGGCTGCATAATGTTGGCAGCCCTGCCCCGTCCTGTCAGACCGCGGGCACCACGGCACCGCATCGTGACTATAAAGAGGTGAGCCCCCATGGCCCCGTGGCCCCATGGCGGCCCAGCGTGGACCCGCGCGGGGCGTCATGGGTATCATGTTGCCCAGACCGAGATTTAAGAGAGTTGGAATACGATTGTGGTATTGTGTGCTTTTCGCGCTTCGCGCGCCGAGCCTTCACCTTTAAAAAGCGATTGCAACTGTTATTGTGTTCCGTCGGAAGTCGCTGTCGTGAATAACTAAAATGGAAACCGCATGCACAAGGTGCACGCCACACGACCAACAAAACCAAAGGCCAGCGCGCTGCCGCGGGGCGGCCGGGGTTCGAACCCGCATCGCGTCGGGACGGCACCCTCACCTGTTGATGACGTTCTCGATGCCCTGCTCCTCCAGCAGGTCCACCTGGTCGTAGTAGGTGTCCTGGTCCGGCACGCCGGCCAGCGTCTTGTTGAGCAGCGTCATGGCGTAGATGAGCAGCTCGGTGTCCGCCGCGTCGTAGTCCATGAGCAGGCGGATGACGCGCGACCACGGCGTCAGCCCTGCGACACCCACAGGGACGACACACACATCGTCATTACGGCGTCCGCGCGGACGTGAGTGAAAGCCCATCGCCGATACGCCGTAGGGACGTCGGCGACGCCCCCGCGGTGCGTCCAGGCGGACGAGTCGAGCACCGCGGCGGCCCGCCCCGCCGGAACACGCGGGGCGCGCACAGCGCGGAGCCGAGCCGGGCGCGGAGATGAGCAGAGCGGACTGGCCTCGCAGCCAGAGCGGCCGCCGCCAGAGCCGTTTCAAATAATTGAACGCGATGCGACGAGTGAGTACCGAGCGCCGCGGAGAGAGTGTAAGGGAGCGGCGGCGGTGGTTGCGTCGGTCGACCTGCGTGCCGGCCTGGCAGCCTGGCGGGGGGCGACGACGACGACCACTCACCTTCGGCCGCGTCCACGGCGTGCACGGCCCGGATCAGCAGCAGGCTGTTGGCGTCCGTGTACTCGATGAACACGAGCAGCAGCTTGAGGGCCGTCTTGACCACCAGGCGGAAGCGGCTGGCGATGAGGGAGTACAGCCACTGCAGGGTGGCGGGGTGCTCCATGACGCCGTTCATGCCGTCCACGTACAGCATCACCTGGCCCAGGGCTGCAGCACCAAGGGGATTAGCTCAGTCTCTCCAAATGTCCAATCATGTTGCAAGTAACCTAACTGCTTTTAATTCTGCAACTGCTGTATTTATTTCACACACGTTCTGCTCCATCAGCCTAGGACCATTCCGCAGAAAATGAACAAAGCTCAAGGAAAACGCACGGCTCATTGCCGGCTTTTGTTTTTAAGTAAAAAGATTGCTGAGATGAGAGGGTAATGAGGCCTGTGAGGCTCGAAAACGCTCCCCGGCTCCTCCATTCACTTGGCCGAGTCGATCCGGAGATGAGAGCTCATCCAGTTGATCGCGTGGAGTCCGTGGAGTCCGGACGCGGCACGCTGCGGCACGCTGAGCTTGCAGCGCTTTAAATTAAAGCGCCCCGCTCGCTGCGCTTCCTCTCATCATAATCTCAGCAGTGCCACGGCACGGCCACGGCACGGCCACGGCACGGCCACGGCCAAGGCGGCCAACCAGCGCCACGGCAGCCACTACACTGCGACTCGGCAGTACACTACACTGCAGCGCAGCGCTGCTCGCGCGGACCCACCTCGAAGAATGTAATTCTGGTACTTCTGGTCCGCCGTGGAGCCGACCTGGACGAGGCACGACAGGCCCTCATTCTGGACGAACTCGTGCACCAGGTCTTTGTCCTCCTGCAACACATCACAACGAGATCGGCGTCACGGCTCAGTGGTCATAGGCATCACCTCGGGGATCGCGGGTCGTGGGTTCGATTCCCGGCCACGTCCTAGATTACTGCGATGTACCGGAGGGGAGGAGTATTCGCACATGTAAAGGGACTCGGAAAAAAAAACCTTCCCTCCGGTCGAATGAATTAAATGTGTTCTCACTAAGCAAAATATACACACAAAACTGCCGTTAGCCTGGATAACGTCGGCGGGCCCGTGTCGGGGTGAAAGGTGGAGCGCGCTTCGCTGCTTCGCTCCACCAGGCTACACGTGTAGCCCCGTGGCTCTACAGGCAGGGCGAGTCAAGGACCCCGAGGGGGACCACTAGGGCGTCGCGGCGGGGCCCCGCGGGGCACGGCACGGCACGGCACGGCCAGCTTACCTGGAATATCTGTTTGAGCGAAAAGAGGGCGCGGCGCAGCTCACGTCCCTCAGAGGTAACCAGCTTCTCTGCAACACCACAGCAAGGGGCTCACTTGGCAACCGATTACGGAGAGCGTTTAATTAATGGCGAGGAGAAGAAGGAGCAGGAGGAGGAGGAGGAGAAGAGGGAGGAGGAGGGCTTACCGATGATGGTGTGGACCCGGACGGACAGCTGGGTGCGCAGGACCAGGGAATTCTTCCGGCTGCAACACAAAAGACGGGCACGCATTTACGGTCCTGCTTTGTTGTGTTTACGTTTCTGACACACTCCGAGCATCGGACGGGCATCGGACGGGCATCGGACGGGCGGCGGCAGCCCGTCGACTGTCGACGGGAGGAGCGCTGAGTTATCACGACGCAGGCGCGCTGTCACGAGGCGTGAGTTACTTAATTAACCGGGCACTACACTGGGCGCATCAACGTCATCCGCCTTGATTCCAACGACCTTTCTTTCTCTTCCCCGCTCTTCGTCGCCCCGCGTCGCCCCGTTCCCCATTCCGCGGCTGGATGGCTGGATTCGCCGGCGGCTAGCTCTCTCAGCGCGCCGCCGCGCCGCCGCGCCCCCACGCCTCGCTCTACGTAAATGTTTTCCCACACTGGATGGCACTCTCCTCAGTGCGAACAATGCACACCACTCGGGCCGGTAAAAAGGGTAAAAGCGGGCGGCGCGGCGGGTCAGGCCCTAGTCAGGCCCTAGTCAGGCCGGGTCGGCGGAGGCTGGAGAAGGGGGAGGGGGGAATCGAAGTCGCCGCCCCGCGCCGCCCCCACCCCCACCCACCGAACCCATCATGCACTGGCCGGCCCATCATCCGAAATGAAACGAAGGTGTTGAGTTGAGCCAACACAATCAGGCGGCAGGACCTTCGGGACCTTCAAGACCTGGAGGAGGAGGACCACCCGGCGCACAATGCCCGGTGATGAGGTCGACGGGGCCGCGCCGCCGCCACCACCACCGCCACGCGGCGGGGCACTAGACGGGTAACGTTAGGGCAACACGGGAAATAAATTTGGCCAGCACCACCTGCAGGGCCAGGGCCTGCAGCGGGTTGGTGGACGGGGGCCGCCCCGCCCCGCCCCGCCGTGGCCGAACGGGATGCGCCCATCTCATTACTGCCATTAATCGGCAACCAGTTTTGGCCACGTCTGCGCTCCGCGCCGCTTTGAGCCCCAGTCCGGCCGGCCAGCGCGGGCATCCGGGGCACTCCGGGTGTGTCGCCCGCAGAGTGCACCGAGCGAACCGGGGACCGCGGCGGGGGCCCTAACGCCACGTCGCATTTCGCTGGCCTTTATAGAGCTTAGGCTGATTCAGACAGTCGTTCACGTCCCCACACCTCCTCTTAGTGGGAGGTGTGGAGGCCTCTGATTGGTCAAGGCCTCCGACGAGTAGACGAAAGCCGCTCGCGAACGACTCTCTGAACCAGTGTGCTGGAACGGCCTGCCTGCCGGGCGCGTCGTGTAGACTTGCGATTGGTCCTTCTCGCCGAAGAGCCTCCAGCCGGCGGACTGGCCGGGCCGGACTCGAGTCGGACAGCGCGAACAGCGAGCCCTCCTTGCGCAACCAGCGCGCGGTTTGTGTCACATCTTTGCGGCAAATTGGCCATTAAACAACATTGTTCTGCAGCGAAATCACGGTCACGACGCGGCCGCCCTCCAGCGGCGCGACGCGGCGCTGAGGGCCTGGAGGGCCTGCAGGGCCTGCAGCGGGACGCGCCGGCGGGGGGCGAGGGAGTAAGTCATCATCCCAGAGGAAACAACGGCGTGCGCCGCCCAGTGTGCCAGCAGAGAGAGGCGGAGCGACGAAGCGCTGTTCGGAATCAGACTCCCTCCCGGTCGGGCGAACTGCGGGGCGCGCGGTTTTACTGCGCGCTGCGCGAGGCGCGGCGATCACCAAATCGAATCATCGAGGCTAGGCCGGGGCGGGCCCAGGGCGGGCCGAGCCAGGACGCCGATGACGGCTCGTCACGACGTCACCGCCATGCATCATGCACGGTGATGGCCTTAATGATGCGCCGGGCCTGGCGGCGTGCAGGCAGCGCAGGCAGCGCGGTGCAGCGCCATAAACTCCCCGGTGGGAAGATGACACGCTAATCCGGCCGAGGAGCGGAGCGGAGCGCGGAGCGGACTGAGATGTAAAACTAGTCGTCTCACGGCCGTGCGGCGCGCGGCCGGGGCGTGCTGCCCGCCTGCTCACTTTATAGTGCTGGCCACACTGTCGAATACTACACTCGGCGAGGTGAGGGGCCGGCGTGCTCCCCGCCCCGCGGCGCGGCGCGGCGCCTGGCAGGCGTTCAGTGAAATGGCGGGGATAGCCTGGCCAGGCCTGGCGGCACCAGGAATGCGCTTGTTCCTGCAAGACCCAGGGGACCCCTGCCCGGTCCCTAGCTGCAACTAGCCTTGGATTCCTGCGGCGTTCCACGAAGCCTCCGGGTCTCCAGGTTCTCCAGGTTCCAGGCGGCAGCCTCCCTCCGGGTGGCGGTGGCCGCGGTGGCGTGGCGGGCACACCGTGGCGCCTGGCGGAGCCTCGCGGTCCGGCCAAGCGCCCTGCCCGGCAGTGGCAGTGTAGTGGCAGTGTCGTTGGGAAGCGGGCCGCCGAAATAGCCGGGACAATGCAGTCCAGAGGCGCCTCGCCCCGCCCCGCCCCGCCCCGCCACTCCAAGTTAGGCCGGCCGGCCGCCTTTTGTCCTTTTGTTTTCCCCAACTAAATATAAAAATAAACAAGGCGACGTGACTTGCTCGAAAAACAAGCACCATTCCCCCAAATCGCACCTCTTCAACGGCAGCGCCACCCGAGCCGCTGAATTACGCCAATTTGAGCACCCGAGGCCCGGCAGGCCCGGCCCGTGTTCCGAGAAATCTTTCGAATGCTTCCCGCGAAAGCCCAAGCCCCAAGCCCACAGCGCCGTGCCTTGTGAGGACGCGGAGCGAGCACAAGCACGACCAGCATGGTCACGAGTGTCACGGCCATTGCCACGCGGCCTCGCTTCGGGCTGGGCCACGCGGTGCCGCCGAAAAACGTTTTCCGCCCGTCCGACGGCCAGGACACTCCCCGCATGGACGACTAGGCCGAGTCACTTTTCACGGCTTCCAAGAAATACCCTGCCGGGGGGCGGTGGGCGGCCTGCCGGCGGCTAGCGCCTGCGGAGTAGGCCGGCCTGCCGCGCGCCCGAGTGCGCCAGGCCCGACACCGTATCCAGCGCCTGCACTGTCAAGGAGATCTGCGGAGCGGACTCGCACTTTTGTCCCTGCGGCCACCTTTACCCCACCAGCAGACTGCTTCCGAGAGTCGTTTTTGTCGCTCTGTCTCTCTCGCACTAATGGCAGAGCGGACCCTCGGGATCAGTCGACAGCTCGACAGCTCGACGCCGCGATCGACCCGGCCGTGCCAGCCTCGTCGAGCCAAATGGCACGGCACTCTCACTCCGGCAGGGCGGCAGGGCCAATGGAATAAGCACTACACTAATATAAGGAGGGAAGCAGCGGGGGCCGTGCCAGCACTGCCAGCACACTGCCAGCAGCGCACGGGGCGGAAGAGGCAGGCGGCAGGGCGGCAAGGGGTGTGGTGGACAGAGAGAGGACGCGAGTGGGGACCAGTGGGGACACGGCAATGACCTTGCTTGCCTTGCTTGCAGCGAGCCTGCCCTGCCCGCCGCACCGGCCCAGCCTCCCTCCCGTCCGCGTCGCCCCGTCGCCCCGACTCGGCCGCCGCGGGCCGCCCTCCTCTCCCCCACCGAGCCCCACCAAGCCCCGCCAAGCCCCGCCAAGCCCCGCCAAGCCCCGCCAAGCCCCGCCAAGCACTTCGACAGACTCGCGAGCCGGTTGCGCCCGACCCGGCGTGGCGTGGCGCGGCGTTCCAGGATGGCCACCGATCAAGACTCCCGGCTGCAAGGCACACTGCACGGCCGCCCCGCCCCGCCACGCCCCGCCACGCCCCGCCCTGCTCCGCCCGGACAGTGGCCCGGTCCACACCTGGCGGGGCACGGCCAGGGCACGGCCGGTTAGGACCCGGAGAGGTGTCGGTGACGGGGTGTTGCAGCGTCACGCAGTCGGCGCACGGCCCTGGTGCGTGTCCACGTGGAAAAACAGCCAGACAAAAGCAAACTTGAAAACGACCTGACGATTCGGGAATGGAATCGACAGAAGCGCCTCCCGCAATCAAGGCCTCAACTCCACTTCAATTAAAACTCTTAACAAGATGACGGCCAAGTGCCATAGCGTGGAAGTGGCGCGTTGTAATGTTCCAGTGACCGCGAGACGGCGGGGCACGGCGACGGCGACCGCGTCCACGGCGGCGGCAGTGGCGGCGGCCCGAAGCGTGTGCGGCATCTCTATGGCACCGGCGTTGGCCGCACCGCCGTACCGGCACCGGCCGCGCTGCAATCCAGTTATGTGGGTATGGAAGTCAAGTACAAGGGCACGCATCATCTCATAACAAGGCCTGGCAAGCCCAAGGCAAGCCAAAGGCAAGCCAGCCAGCCCAGCCCGGCAATGTCCCCGATGCACGCCGCGCCGCCGCGCCGAACACGTTTCGCATCGCGGAGCGTCGCGCAGCGTCGCGGCGGCCATCCATCTCCGGAGCGTCGCGGCGGCGGGGGAGGAGGACGCCGGGGGACGCGGTCAGTCAGTCGTCGAGCAGTGTACACACTACAACGCGGAGCAACGCGGAGCAACGCGCCCATAGAGAACGGCGGCACGGCGGCGGCCCCGCGAGGACGGCGATGACGAAAACGCGCCGCTCATGGCGTGCCGCGGCGTGCCGTCCGTGTGGCGACCAGAGAGCGCGCTCACGGTGGCGTGCCGTCCATGACGACGTGCTGCATGTGCTGCATGTGGCCGCGCCTTAACGAGGTCCGTCCAGGCCGGCCGGGTGCTCGCAAGGCTCGTCGCAAGGGCCGGCAGCCAGCACGCCCGATGCAGCCCATGCAGCCCATGTGCATCTTGTCAGCAATCGGATCTCGGAGGAGCGGAGCGCGGCGTGGCGCGCCTGGCTGCAGTTTGTTGCCTTTACGGCGCGATAATATGCGCGTAAAAAAGCGGCGCGCGATTACTGCACCGCGCCGTGTCGGCGTGTCGCGGCGCGGACAAGAGGTGCCTCTTGTTGCCCATGAACACGACACGGAGGCGCAACACGGCGCGGCGAGGCGCGGCAAGGCGCGGCGCGCCCCGGTCCTAGCCGTGCTTGGCTACGGGCGTCGCATCGTTTCGT